CTCTCTCTCTCTCTCTCTCTCTCTCTCTCTCTCTCTCTCTCTCTCTCTCTCTCTCTCTCTCTCTCTCCTAGTATCTATATTTATGCCTGTATATATATACGTACACATATATGTACGTATACATATGTTTATGTGAATTAATGAATACAAATTAAAGTCGATAAAACAGTTCTACTCTTGTCGTAATTTTCAAGTACGTACTCATTGCTGGTACAAACCGTTGAGATTTCTTTAATTAACGTATATGGGGAATTACGAAATTTCTTTAATTTTGGTTAATCATTTTGTTCTTGCGGTTGCGAAGATTAGAGCTTTATCTCTCTATGCGCGTGAGTTGGATTCCACTGTTTTCATCACTCAATTTGGAGCAGTAGAATACGATCATCATCATTGTAACTTTATTCCTTTCTGCTTCGATCTCAAGCACTCAATTCTTTATAGGAAAATCCCGTTCTTTTTTTCTTTATTGTTCATAAATTAAATTTTAATTATTGCAATTGGTCTACAGGCAGTGTAGTCCTTACTGGATCTAAAATCCAATGCAAAGCCGTATCAAAGTCTCCTACAGAAGGTAAGTATCCCAAAATGTTAACATTTCTTTTATTAATCTTTTGATGCATATATCCCATAAAAAAACTTCCTTTTTCTGATCCTTATTAATTAGTATAAAATATTTTTTTCATTTATTTTATTCTTTGTTTTATGGGTGTCAAGATTACTCAATATTAATAATTTGAGATAAAAAAATGTAATTTAATAAAACGGTCCGATTACTACAAATAGAGCTTTATTTTATTTCCTTTTATTCAAAAAATAATTTTTAAAGATAATGTTACTTTTTTTATTGTTTATTTATTTATTTTTAAATATAATATTTCTTTATGTGTGATGATGCAGAATACTTTGATGTGCTTCAAAAAAATGGTTTACCATTTATAAACTGGAATGACATCGTGGAGGATGAGTTGGATAAAGAAAAGGTGCTATTTTGTACTTGCAATTTTATTTTTAACTTCTATAGTTATATTTTGAAGTAAAAGACCTTTTGTTTGGTAGAATCTTAATGGGAAAATACCGCAAATAGACAAAAAATGGGGTTAATTTATAAATTTAGTCATAAAAAAAGGTTTTTCCCGATATAGACATTCATTCCGCGGAGGACCCTCTGCGGACCTCCGCGGAACCATGAAATCTCCGCGAAGAGGGGGTAATTTCGTAATTTCCACCATATTTTTTTGAGAAAAACTAAGGGGTCCTCTTTTGGTCCCCACTGGTCCCCGTTCCTCTTCGTCACTGCGCATCGGGTCCTCCAGGCTTTGATCGAAGACTTCAAATCCGGCGACGACTTCAACTCCGGCGACGACTTCAAATCCGGCGAAATCGAGTCGCGGAGCTCCTCGTCACCTTCTCCGCGGAGGTATTTATGAAGGCCAAACGACTCGCTCCGCGGAGGTATTAATGTATCCGCAGAGGGCGTACGCGGAACATTCTTTTATCCATTCAAAAATTAGAATTGTAGCTTGTCCGCGGAGATGACGTCATTCCGCGGAGGTCCGCGGAGGGTTCTCCACGGAATGTATGTCTATATCTGGAAAAATCTTTTTTTATGACTAAATTTAGAAATTGACCCCCATTTTTTTGTCTATTTGTGGTATTTTCTCAATCTTAATTGGTACTAACATTTAACATCGTCCTATGGTTCTCATCATGCCTCAAACCCTAACAGAAGATTTTGTATCCGAATGATGAGATCAAAGGGTTTGTCGAGAGGATCAAAGTGATGTTGGGATCGATGGATGAGGGAGAGATAACTGTATCAGCTTACGACACAGCTTGGGTTGCACTCGTTCAAGATATCGACGGAAATGGTCGCCCCGAGTTTCCGTCAAGTTTAGAGTGGATCGTGGAAAATCAACTACCTAATGGATCATGGGGCGACCATTTGATCTTTTCGGCTCATGACCGGATCATAAGTACATTGGCATGTGTTATCGCGCTAACTTCTTGGAACGTTCATCCCGGTAAATGCCAAAAAGGTAACTGTTGGTCATAATTCATTAACGTACATGGCAACAATAAACATGATTTCTCTTTCAAAAAAAAATAATAAACATGATTTTATTTTATTTTAAGATCGTACAATCCTAAACATTATTCGTTATGATCTCAAAGTAGATTGTGGGAAAAAGATAACAGAGTACAATCTTAATTAGATGCCATGCACTATGATGACTCCTTTATTTACGTATTTATTTATTTATTTATTTAGACTGAAAATATGATTATGAGTTGAATGAATTTACATGAACAAAACTTTATGGTGAACTTGGTGGTTGTTGCTAAACATTTACGTGGGTTTTAGCGATGCCTAATGGAACCTTTTGCTAAATAATTTTACTAATCAAACCATCAAACATGTATACACAGGACTGAAATTTCTGAATGACAATATAAGCAAACTTGAAGAGGAAAATCCAGAACACATGCCGATCGGTTTTGAAGTAGCTTTCCCTTCGCTCATTGACATTGCAAGGAAACTAGACATTCAAGTCCCCGAGGATTCTCCCGCCTTGAAAGAAATCTATGCAAGACGAAACCTGAAGCTCACAAAGTCGGTACTTTACACACCGTTCTTTTCCCGAAACTAAAAAAATTAGTGAAAGAAATTATGGTCGTTACTTTCACTAGGAAATTAACACCAAAAACACGAATGTACTTATGATGTTTTGTTTTTTTGTGTCGAAAAGGATACCGAAGAGCTTAATGCACAAAGTGCCAACAACTTTACTTCATAGCTTGGAAGGAATGCCAGATTTGGAGTGGGAAAAGCTTCTAAAATTGCAGTGCAAAGATGGGTCATTTCTGTTTTCTCCATCATCTACTGCTTTTGCACTCATGCAAACAAAAGATCAAAAGTGTCTGCAGTATCTTACAGATGCTGTCACCAAATTCAATGGTGGAGGTATGTTTGGTGTTATATATAGAACCCTTTTTTTGTTCTATAAAAAGAAATCTTTCTACTTAGGGAATATGATCATATTCTTGTTTTTTTTTTTTTGTTATAGTTCCGAACGTGTACCCAGTGGATCTTTTTGAGCATATTTGGGTCGTTGATCGCCTTCAACGACTTGGGATTTCGCGTTATTTCGATTCCGAGATCAAGGATTGCGTTGACTATATATACCGGTATATATATTGCGAATTCGATCAAAAGTAGAACTTGTAATAAAGTCGTCGACGGCATTGGTAACTAAAATGAAGGATTATGGTTTCAGGTATTGGACGAAGGACGGAATCTGTTGGGCGAAGAACTCTAACGTACAAGATATTGATGACACCGCGATGGGATTTAGGGTTTTAAGAATGCACGGCTATAAAGTTACTACAGGTCAGTTTTTAGATGATCACCTCGATCGATCAGGTGACTGGATTAAAGACTAACAAACATGTTTGTGGCAGATGTGTTTCGACAATTCGAGAAAGATGGTAAATTTGTGTGCTTCCCTGGGCAAACAACTCAAGCGGTGACCGGAATGTTCAATTTATTTAGGGCTTCGCAGGTGCTCTTCCCCGATGAGAAAATTCTCGAAGATGCCAAGAAATTTTCGTATAACTATTTGAAGGAGAAACAATCGACAAACGAGCTTCTTGATAAATGGATCATCGCCAAGGACTTGCCAGGCGAGGTATATATATATATATATATGAAGATATTCATTTTATAACATTTTGCGACAGGTGTTCATAATCACATATGATCTACAGGTTGAATACGCATTAGATGTCCCATGGTATGCGAGCTTACCTCGACTCGAAACAAGATTTTACTTGGAGCAATACGGAGGTGAAGACGACGTTTGGATCGGGAAAACCCTATACAGGTATTAATTATTACAACTATATATAAATCTAGAAATCGAACAACTTTAATTTACAAGACAACAACTTTTTTGCTTTTTGCCATGACCATATATCTGCCATTGAAGATGACTTTCAAAAACGACAGCGGGAGACAATAGTACGCTCAGCTTTTTTAAAACCCGTGAATGCGATGCTTTGTTTGTCTTCGATCGATCTGGATATACATACGCACATAAATTCTCTGCACAATATTGGTTTGTGCATGCTACTACACGTGCATTTCTGGTTATCGCTTAAGATGCAATCAAACAAACATTGGGACTTGTATATAGCTTTCTATGATCGTACGTAACTATTTTGGGTATCCGACAATTTTAATTATATCCATTCGAATTTATGTCCGGATTAAGTGATCTGTATTTATCGTATACATATCAGCTGGGCCCCAAAAAAACTA